TACACGGTTCAGGTGAACAGCGCCTTCTTCACCGGAATCTATGGCATGTGGAACCTCTATGTATTTGCCCTCATGTTTCTCTATGCACCGTCTCACAAGCGTTATGGGGACGAGCAATCAAGCGGTGAGACACTTGGACCGTAAAATTGTAAATAATTTGTATGACACCTGCAACTCTAATGGCAAAGCTTCTATGCAGACATGCTGCATATAATAGGTATTATATGCATTAAAAACCTTTGTCAACCAACATCAAGGATGGTCCAGCTACAAGCACCTCACCAATCATCATGGAATGGACATTATGGACACTGATCACAATCCTTCATTTATTATATTTTGTCAAATTAATATTTGACTTGTACTAAACTTGCCTAATCTACAGTAGCATCAACATTTAGTTCAGACTCTGTAGCCAGAGGTGACCCCCTGACTTCAATAGCTAGTGATTCGTTTACTGTGTAAAATATATTCTTTTGCTGTGAAAGAGCCAAATGATAAAATACATCTATTTACAATATGATTTGTTGTTGTAATAGACATTATTAGTATCATTTGCATTTTTTTACCTTAATGATATATTATATTATATTATATATTATATTATATTATATTTGTTTTTCAGAGGTGGCCATTTAAAATACAGCAAATTAAAGGTCTTTATTTTTTGTCTGCCAGACAGCTGTAAATTGCATACAAATATTTACACTGTACAAGAATTTGAGTTCATATACAAGGGCCTGTTGATGACTGTTAAAACAAACGTTTTTTAATCTGCTGTGCACTATGGGGATATCAAGGGTTGTGTTCCTCATGTAAGTAGTGAATCACTAAACGGTTATTTGATTGATAACTGTCTTCTAATCAATAGCTTATAAATAAATGAAGGCCAAATTTGAGGTTTGGCACAGAATGTTGCATAAATGTTGCGCCTATAGAGCATTGTATTGTTAGCATTAGGATTATTTGTTTTACAGACAAACTGAGACTACATTTTGAGACACACCCAGAACTGCTCAGTTTTTCCCATGAATCATGAGAAATGAATGTTTTTTTTTTTTATTGTGCTGTATCGAAATACACAGGTTGTCTAAATCGATCTTGGAATGTGTTTTTAAAAAGATGTCTCAAAAGAGTCAGACGATGCTGTTTCATGTCTGCAGCACAAGGAAATCAGTACCTGCATCACTGTAAGGACATTCACTTAGCACCATGTTACACAGTCTCCTCATGTTTAGGTTCTTTTAAGAAGGGTAGTCCCCCCCCCCCCCTTTTGGGGAAATGGGCCTCTTTGGCGGCAGTCGTTGTCTCTAATCTAAGTCAGGCTCCCTACTTGGGCTGGTTTAATGAAAACCATCAATGTCTTGATGTCATGCTTGAAACTTTCTTTATGGTTTTCTGTCCCTGAATGGCGTTTATTGTTAGGTTAGAATAGACATTCTGGAGATCTTCAAACATTACTTCAGTGTTGCTTTTTTTTTTTTGTGCATGATGCCAAGAGGTGACAAGTGTCAGTCTCAGCTCTGTCTAAAATTTTGTTGACAACATATAGACAAATTAGTAGTAAATCATTTAAATTGTCAGTGGTCATATCCTTCCTAAATTCTCCTGTTATTATAATTTGAGTAAATGCATGAGCCGAAAATCTGTTTGACTTTACAGTAATATTCAATAATATTTACTTTTTTATTTATAGATAATAATATTTTTTATTTAACAAGGATGCATTCGATTGATCAAAAATTGTATAATTGTATCAACATGTATAATGTTACACAAAGATTTCTGTTATTCCAAATCAGCATATTAGAAGGTTTTCTGAAGGATTATGTGACTCTGAATACTGGAGTAATGGCTGCACAGCATTTTAAAATACCTTAAAATAAAAATAATAATTAAAACATTTATTATATTATATTATTTATATTATTGTTGTTTTCAGTGTATTTTTGATCAAATTAATGCGACCTTGATGGGCATTAGAGACTTTAAAAACATTAAAAATCTTACTGATCCCAAACTTTGAAACTTTTTTTAATAGCCAGTGATAATGGAATAGGTTAGAAATGGTTGTGACAAGGTGCTTTCCTACTTTTAGTGCCTTTTTCCCCCTTCTCTCCTGTGGTGAAATGGGCCCTACAGGCAGCAGTGGGTGTCTCTAATCTTGGCCAGGCTTCCTACTTGGGCTGGCCTAATGAAAACCATCAGTATATTGATGTCATGCTTAAAACTTTCTGTATGGTTTCCTGTTCCCAAATGGTGTTTGTTGTTATTGCATATATACATTATGGTTATTTTTTCTTGACCTGATACAAACTTAGTGGATCTTAATTTAGTATTGAAAAATTATAGTGCATCACACATGGTTTTCCATGTTTGTTCAGGCTTGTGCTGCAACAAATTTTGGGGTATTTTTTTGTTTATGCTGAATTCTTTATGAAGACGTTATCACCTGGAAACTTATATTTCCTGTTGTTGCTACCCTGTCATGATGTTAGTGAAAGTATTGATCAGTCACTGATACATATTCCTCTGTTCTCTTTTTCCATATAGCGGATCAAGCTGGAAATAGTGGTGAAGAAATACAGTTGACCACCACCATCACACACGTGGACGGACCTACAGAGATCTACAAAATGACCGGCAAAGAAGCTCAAGAGTAACCATCACCTGTATTCAGGGTCCAACAAGAGTCTCAAAAGTTCAAACAATGCGCTTTTGCGTGTCCTGTGTGGTCCCTGTCATTTCAAACACAGCCTCGCAAATATTAATCCCCTTTTTCACTTATTGGCTTTCCATTACACTGAGGTTCAGTCTAAAACATCTGCTTATGCCGAGCTGTAGAAAAATGGAGTTGCACACCATCTTGTGAGTGCTGGGAGAAATTATGAAGTGTATCTCGTACTGTGGATAGGCAAAGGCACTGGTGATGGCAAGGACCAATACATTTGGGGGGGGGGGGGACAAGGTAATTTCTTTTAATTATGCAGCAATTGTTTGTTGTTTAATGTATTCTGTAGCTGAGATCATTGTTTTCCCCTTTGATTTTGTAATTACAAAACAAGGAAGAAAATACTGTAGTTACGTATGCTTTTTTCCCAGTTGATTCTTCCTCATATGACTTTCTTAAACACTCCCTAAAGGAAATTTCTTTTAATTATGCAGCAATTGTTTGTTGTTTAATGTATTCTGTAGCTGAGATCATTGTTTTCCCCTTTGATTTTGTAATTACAAAACAAGGAAGAAAATACTGTAGTTACGTATGCTTTTTTCCCAGTTGATTCTTCCTCATATGACTTTCTTAAACACTCCCTACCAAAAGTAAACACACCTATTGAACCCATAACGTGAATGACCGAGTTCAAACCAACGTCTCCCAGAACAAGATGTGGATGTAAAGTGACATACAGATAGATTAATGTCCTTGTGTTCTGAATGGCAAACACTATGTTCATGATGTTACAGTGTAGAGATGTATTTTTTTATAAAGTGCTTATTTTCATCTGTTTGAAAGCATCAGTGGCTGTACTTTATCATTGTGTTGTTAAAAAGTATCTTTTTGAGATTTTCGATTGTATCACATGGAAATTTGGGGTTTTGTTTTTTCATGCTTTTTATGCTTATTTAAATAATAAAAACATTTTAGATTTGTTTGGTTAAAGGGACTTTGCTTAATGAAACACTGGTGAACAGAAAGTTGTGCTGCAGTATAGAAATAAGTCTCAGAACTACATTTGATATGTATACTTAAAGCTTTTATATAAGTAATATGAAGCAGAAAAAAATCACCTCTTGCCCTAGTG